GTCAGCTTCTTGTTGAACCTGGCCAGCCGTGATAGTTTGTACATGCTACCACCGCATAGTGCCAAAAGCCCAACATGTTCCATTTATTTCTAAACTAGCCCCGCAGAGAATGTCCATGCCAAGTATATATTCACCTATTTCTGCCACTAAAACTGTATAAAGATGTGGATCCCAATCCCCAGTCTGTAATTTTAACTCGGTAAATTTGCCAATAACTGGTTGATCACCTAATCCCCACAGAGGGCTAGTGTACCCCATAATCTTACTTGGACTGCCACAAATTGTTGTAACCTCCACCCCCATATCTACTAGTGCGTGAACCCCTTCTTTGCTGGTATTAGACCACCAAATAACATATTGTGTAAAGGGACGGGGATCACGCTCTGTCACACGACATACTGGTATGGGGGGTTTGGTCTGACTCTTATTCAGCTTTCACATGGCGTTCGGTGGCCTCCACTGCCTCTTTTGCATATTTTGCCTAGAACACAGGAGCCCAAATCCTGGGGGCCATTTTGGTTCAGCCCCAAATGAGGGTGCTCTGGCTGGATCAAAAGAAGGTATGTCTGCATGTGCCGGCCCAGAGTGGTCTACTTTTCTCACCCACCTACCCTAACAGGCCTGGACTAGGCAATGCAAAACTTGTATGGTTTTACCATCTATATCCCTTTTGTCTGCCCCTTGATTGAGCAGAAGGTGGAACGATCGAGTCTGCTCTCCTGGTTCCCCTTTGTCTGCAGATTTTGGCTCTGGCTGACGCTCTCTGGGTGGTTCTCATTCTGATTCTATTCCTGGCGATGCCCCTACCTGGCTGAGCTTTTCAATAACTTGGTCAATAGGGTTCCCTTGCTCTGCCAATAATATTGGCATCAGATATGGCTTCCATCCTCTAGGACACCCTTCTAACAGCACGTTGTGAGTACTGGGGGTCAGTGGCTGACTTACGTAGAGCTCGGGGCAGCCCATCAGACACACATTTTCCATACCGCCTGCCTTTGAGATCTGACGTGCCTGCCTGACAGTGGTCCATTCTTTGGATATTGCCAGCCATGCCCCATCACTAGTGTATCAACCAAATAATCCCTCACCAACTACTGTCACTAGAGAATGGTTTTCACCCTCTGGCACTCAGCATAGAGCAGATTGAACATATTGATCAGAAGTGAGACCCATGAATTTTCTCACATTGAGCCCATCTACCTGTACAGTGTCTCCCCCTTCTTCCATTAACCATGCCAGCCATAACTGGGGTTTTTCCCCTGGACGCTGTCAATATTTCTCTAGGAGATTTTTGTTCTCTTTGGGGGTGTAATTTGTGAGTAATCTGACCATACCAAAACCCTGTTACTAGTTACATTTTTTCACTTAAACACGGGAGCCACCTAAACACCGGGGACATTGATTGAGGCGGGGACTTCTGCTTCAAACTCACTTCTAGTGCTCCAGGTATTTCCATCTCATTTGGGCCTTGCCACTATCACTCGAACCCATGGTCCCACGGGTTTCCCCTTTTGCTTCCTTCCTCAGCTCTTCGCAACCCAAACAGCATATTTAGCTGCTAGAGCTTCACATTTCCTTCTCCACTGTTCCCCTTCTTGTATTACTCTTACAAAAGCCTGCCTCTGGTACAAAATTTCTGCTTGCAATTTATTATTTTCTTTCACTAGAGCCTCATATTTTTGCTTCCATTTTTGTTTTTTATACACCATCGCCTTGTATGCTATCAATCAGCAGGCAGCCAGCCATTCACCTTGCATGAGTCAAGAGCACCTTGGAGCAGGTAAGGGAGTGTCTGAGTAAACTTGCCCCAAAACTTCAATATTTCCATGGGATCTTTGGCCTCCCATGGCTCAGGACTGACATTCATACAAGTTTCCAACTTGCCCCACAGCGTACTCCAGGGCTTGATGATCCACCCTGGCCATTCTACCGGTGGAGCTGCAGGACACAGTTCCTTTTTCTTAAACATTTTGTCCAGATACTATAAGAATATGCACAAATGCGTCCTACTACACAAATACCACAGGTCCACAAATGTGTGGACTGGAGTCGTTACTTGACACCACTCACACAAGGGGCTTAAGGTTTGTGTAAACCAGAATGGGTGAAAAGGACTGTGGCACCACACACACTTTGCTGTCACAATCACTATCACAACAGTCACTTTGTGGACGATAAGGATAACTATATACCCCACACACACTCACTCCTCTTCTCGTCAGAGATGAGTGTTTCTTCTCCAGTCCTCCCATTCACCACCACACTTCCATACGCCTGTTCACACAGTAGCACACAGGGCGTGCTACGTGCTCGATCGGTGCCATCCCACAACACCTCACACACCCCGCTGAGAGCGTGCATCATAACAAAATACCCAACAGGAACAACGGCGCCCACACCACGTACAACAAGCAGAAACAGAAGTATGGCGCCCACAACAGCGGGGACAGACACTACAATGGGTCTGTCCTGGATCTGGCACACAATCACAGGGAGAACTTCCCATATGGGGAAAGCATTGTGGTGCAGCTACATGTTCCACCGACCAAGCCCTGTCCACCACACCACCTCCTTATATTACCTTGCACGCTGGGAATCCCATCCTCGCCACCAAATACATCTCAGGTTCGTGAGGGTTCCCAAGGTGCAAGAAGGAGGAAAACACCACGACATGGTGTCGCACTGCTTTATTAAGTCCTGTGGATTACTAAGCACGTGGTGAAAATTCAGCAATACAAGTGTGCATACCCAAGACTAGCAGTTACATCCATACCGACCCCAACAGGAGAGGAGTGCCGCTGAGCAGCAGAAGGAGGTGGAGCATGGTGCTCAGGCCGAGGGCTGGCAGGTGCAGCGCCTTCAGAGCGTCTTCAGACATCTTCAGAGCATCTGCTGCAAACCAAGATGTGCTCCAAGCCCTCTCACCCGTTTGCTGAAGCCCCATGCCTTTATCCCCTCTCCCGGGGCACGGGACAGTCCTGCCTGCCACGCTGGCTCCCGCACGGCTAGCGCGTAGCAGATGTTTGCCAGTTCATGCACCCTTGTGCAATCAGCGGTTTCCTGGCCTGACTTACTTCCCCATCTTCAAGGTTATGCTCCCACCCACCAGTTTTACAGCAATTTTCTGCTCTCTTTACATACTGTTCCATCCACGGACCAATTATCTTTTCTCCCTTACACACAAGCCCATGGGTAGAATTTGCCTTGGCTCAGTGTAGATGTCTGCCATGAAGCTAGTCACCTTAAAATCTCTAGGTAGCCAATGGAGAGAAATAAGTAGCTACACATGATTCCTCTCACCCTAAATGAGTCATCTGAGGCAGCTCAGAATTGTGCTTCAGAACTGCCTGGTTTTCTCCATTGACTATAGAGTCCACAGCAACTATGTGAGACATCTCTACTGTGTAGCCATGTAGGTGAGATTAATCCCACTCTGTATGCACACTGTCAAGTGCTCCAGCATGACTGAGTTGCCACCTGTAAGCTAAGTCTTCTTGTGGTTTAAATTAATGCTTTTTTTAAGTTGGGACAGGCATGGATGAAGCATGAGTCTGGTCACGCAGAAGAGCTTAGCTGATGAGCCATAGTGGCTATAGGTTGTTGCTTGCAACTGTTTGCTCACAGCCTTAACGGACCCAGTGCAAGTTAACACGTCCCAAGTGAGCAAGCTGGGGTGCAGCTCCCCAGTGGCTTGACATGGTCTGTCCCTCTGCAGCAGAAGGTGAGAACACGCAGCAGGAGGCTGAGGAGGGCAGGAAATGCAGCAAACCTGGTTTCAACTAGAGATGCACATGTAATTAGTTGCCACAGCCTAGTTAATGGGCTGAACTATTAATAATTCATCAAGCTGTAGTAACCTGACTGTATTACACGTGTATAGACTGCAAGGGCTTCTGCAGTCAAGCGCTATGTGAACCAAACTGTGGTGATTTAAGAGTACTAATCTCATCTGCCCTATCCCTCTGCCCAAATACACTGCCCTCTCTGTAGAAGAGACAGTGGTAAGCATGTGTCTCATGCCATAGAAGGCATTTCATGGGCTGCTCCTTTTTAGGAAAACGGGATTATGCTAAAATACCATCTTGAGAAAGGGGCAGCTGGGGTGGGTGCACACAGAAACGTGCAAAGAACAGGACCATTCTAGCACCATTAAAACTGGAGGTGCACATTAGTGTGAGTTGGAGAAATTTGTCCTTTAGCAAGCCTTTGGATCAGCAAAGTGCATTTCACATAGGGTCCAAGCTTTGTGCTGCTGAGTGAAGATTCTCCTCAATCCTTGTTAATGCAGAGTGCTTGATCCCCTGTTCCTGCTATATAGGAATTGTTAGCTCCAGTGGCTCTGGGTTAGTCTCTGTCTTCACGGGACAGTTTATGAAGAATAACCACGGTGAAGTGGATTATTACCCTGACAGTATCTTATCACTCTGTAGGGCCTAACCTTGACAGATGCTGTGTGACCTCAGTTCACATTTGCCACCGTCGTGGTCAAAAGGTTGCTTTAGAGCTTGATGATTCAGGTCCTTTCAAAACAAATAAGTCAGGCCCTATCCTGTGAGTACTCCTTGCAGGAGTGAGTGGGTAGGTGAAGTCCCTTGTGTGAGTAAGCCCTACCCAAATGATTAAGGCTCGCAGGACAGGCAGAGTACTGAGAATCACGGCACCTTTGAGTTCCTCTTGTTGATACACCCCACCCAACAGTGGGTGGTCTCCTGCTGTGTGCAGTGACTCTGTTTCAGTGCAAGGTAAAACAGACCAGTTAAAAAAAATTCCTACCTGAGGGAGGTAATCCCTAAAATTACTTAGCTTTGGATCCTCAAAAGCCCGAATGAGTTCAGTTCAGCAGTTAGCGTTAGACACGTAAGAACAGGTATTAGCTTGCAAATGATGAAAAGCAAAAGAAGTGACTGAGGAGGAAAAAAAAGTACCAGGGTTTTTTTTGTGTGTGTGTTTTAGAATTAATTTGTCAAGTATCTCTAATTTTCTGTTTGTTTGTTTTTCAGCTTATTCGTTTAGTTTTCCCGGGTCTGGGGACAAAAAGGCTGGGCAGAAGAGGGAATACCAGGTATTAGGTTTTCTTCCTTTGTTTAAATAAGTTATTTATAACTGTGCTAATGAAATTTTGAAATGGCTGAATGTTCAGTCCCAGCACTGTAATACAGCAGCTGTATTGTTGGTTGTAAGTCTGTAACATGTTGCAAGATCCAGAGTGATTTGTGATGTCATCAGGTATATTAAAATAGAGTGAATTCCATGAAAATCACCACATCAGGGCTGCTTTGGTAAAGCATGAATTCCAGATCAGACTGGGCTTTTTTTAAAATGTGTGCTTCGATTTGTACGGATTATTCCAGCATGGTTTGCATGAGGCATCTGCCAGACATCACAACCTCACTCAGAGCTCTTGAGACACCGGGTCAGGAAAGTCTGTCTCCAGGATGCACGGGGGTGGCAGCCGTGATTCATGTCTGTGCTGTGCTTTTCATCCTTGCACATATCTGTGGGGTGACCAGGCATGTATCGATGGTCAATGAAAATGTTGGAAACAGTTTAAAACCATTTAAATCAAACCACCTCAGATCCTCCTCCAATGTTCCTCTCCTTCTGGAGCGCAGAGTTCAATACTCTTTCATTGATTCAATGTCCAAGCTTATAATCACACTCTGAACATCCCGACTGGAAAAAGGGATGTTTTAAGGGCATTGGGACACAATAATTTTACAAGCATTTTGAGCTGTCAAATACTGACTTTAAGACTGACATGCCCTTACTTGATCTGTGATTTTCTCCACTAGTCTGGACTTGCTACCAGCTTGATCAAGTGAGATACTTTATTTTGGGAGTGCCTCACCACAGACACTCCCAGGCTTCTCATAGCCAGCAGGATTTGGGATGGTACGTGATAGCCCTCAGCCTCCATGCTCTCTCTTCTATCAGCAGAGGGCTAACCTCTGCTGGCTGCAGGTGGCCCAAAACGGCTACACTGCTCCTCTGGTTTCCCAGTGACTCAGCCTGGAAAGAACCAGCTGGTAGGACCTAGGATTTTTTTTGAGTAATGGAATGGTGACTCCGCTACCACAGAGGTCAGGATAAACCTCAGAGAAGGTTCAGCAAGTTCCTTGGGTTGTAGATTTACGTGAGAGAGAGCCTACAAGAAAGCTGGAGAGGGACTCTTTACAAGGGCATGTAATGATACAACTGAGAGAGGGTAGATTTAGATTAGATATAAGGAAGAAGTGCTTCACTGTGAGGGTGATAAAGCACTGGAACAGGTTGCCCAGAGAGGCTGTGGATGCCCCATCCCTGGAAGTGTTCAAGGCCAGGTTGGATGGGGATTTGAGCAGCCTGATCTAGTGGAAGATGTCCCTGCCCACGGCAGGAGGGTTGGAACTAGAAGATCTTTAAGGTCTCTTCCAGCAAACCATTCTGTGATTCTCTGATCACTGATGTGCCATCCAGTCCCTAAGCTATTGTGAAAGGCTGCAGAAACTGCACTAAATCCTTCACCTTCCATAGGGATGTGGGACCTCTGTCAGCTGACTTCACTAACTGTCCTGTACAAATCTATTGCACCCCATTCACTGGCTGAATTATTTTTTATTTAGAAGAAGCTATCATACTTGGGCAAAAACTGTTTAAAAGAGTTTGTAAAGAGTATGTGCAATTATCTCCTGTTGGGGAAAGT